AACTGAAAACTGACAAATAGAAAGGTTGAGGCTATTTTAAAATTTCACTTCTGCACTCATAAAACTGTTAAAGACTGCACTCATAAAACTGATTAAGACATTGTTTATGTTTCGAAGATTGATATCTTTACTGCAAATGAAATTTTATTGACAAATTATAGCCTATTATTAGCAAAATTCAAGCGCGCCACTCATTTATAAATGTTGTCGGTAAAATTATTAATTATACAAAAATACAAGCATTTCAACGTATTTTAGCTATGTTACCCCTATAAAACTGTTGAGAAACAGTACTGGGAGTGATGGTATTGCGGCAGAGTCGGACTACTTTTAAAGCTTTAGGTTTTTACAAAAGTGCTAGTATGAATGAATGATTTCTCACATATAGTTTGGATAAATATTATCTGTCTTTGATTTTCCGACTAAAAAGTTTCTTTCATCGATTATAAAGGCTAAACGACGGGTTTTAACCATTATCACAACCTTTTCCTGATTTTCGCAAGAAAAAATTGAAGCACTAGGTTAGGTGGAGTAATTTAAAGCGTTTTATTAGTATTTCCAATATACAGGGCGACTCAAAAAGCTTCCAGAAAGTTTTTCTATGGAACACCAAGTCATTTCTTCATCTATTTGAAGCACCTTGAACTGAATCTAAAACTATTATACACCCTCTAATAAATGTTCAAAATGGCCGCCATTGAGTTATTATTCATTTTTATTTATATATTCGGGATACAACAGAAAAATCCACTACAGTATGCACACAATGAAATTATTATCAAATTGAAAGTATAAATTAATACACTAATATATGCATATCATAGTGTCTGAAATTAAGGATGAATTAGAATTGAATACAGTAACAATAGAAACTGATTATTAGTTATTGACAAAATGTATCAATTAATTATAATTTATAAAAATAAGTTTTCAATATTTTTTGGCCGTAAGCTACAATGTATTAAAAATATGGAAGTATTTTGCAAGAGTGTTACCTCATATTACTGGAGTTTTCTCCCAACACTAAACCGTTCTAGATCCACTATCAAGATTTTCGACCGTATATTTTTTAATAGACGGATTTTCTGAAATAACTGAAACAAAACCAAACTAATCCAAACCAACCATTATCCCTTCTTTCACTAAACAGAAAATTATAAAAAAATATTTGTTATAAATAGAGTATTCGAACCCACCCCAAAACTTAATCATACGTCAATTAGTCAACATCTCAACATCAAAGCCATTTACACTAACGAATACTTATGGATACGAACACTGTTACGAATTAATTATAGAAAGCGGATAGCGAACCTATTCAATTGAATTTGAACGCGAACGCATAAGCTCAAATCACGGAATTATCGGAAACCTAGATACTCCCAAATAAATTAAATGCCGTGAATCACCTTGTATGGTTCAGCTGCTAAAACTGAACTCCCATCCAACCCTAACAACTCATTTGTATATGAAATATTTTTTCGAAACACAACGGAGCATTATGTGGGTTTATAAAGATGTATAAACTAAAACAAAGTCATTCGATAGTCATTGTTGTACTGGAAGTTTCGTGTATACAAGGTAGTAAATTGAAATGCAAAGTTTCAAAAATCAAATGTATCTATTTATTTTAAGTCTTTACACCAGTCCCAGTAACGTTTCATTTAAGTATGAGGTTGTAGTAACTAATTGCTACTTTTAACTAGCAAATAACAAATTATTTTAGAAACGTAGTCTTAGATTACCCGTAACTCACATTACGCTCACAAACTAAAAGTCTGATGTTTATTCAATTCAACAAACAATCTTTGGATAGTTAAGTGAGAAAATTAATATATTATTGTTGGGAAATTTTGCTGATGTGGTTGGGAAAATTTGGATTCCCTCCCCCCCTGGTATTTCTTCTCTCTACGGCCCTGGTGACATGTTATTTGTTACAGGAATAATGATGGCTTTCTGTGACAGAGTTTTTTCCACGTAACCCTCGTAGCTATCAATAATTACTTCACCTACATCACGATCCAGGTGGACGTGTGTATGTGAGTCCTCAATTTGAGACGGAAGTGTTGGATGTAGTAATGAGCATTCATTATAATATATAGCATCAGAGTTAGGTTGGTTTTCTTTATCGCCACTCCAGTCAGTTGAAATAGGTGGATTGGTGATTGTCACACGATACTGATTTTCTACCCATTGAACAACATCGCTATTGAGATATTCAACCAAATGCTTGTTTTTTCTTCATCATTCTGCAATTTTGAAGGTGTTATTCCCATCGAACTGAACATTTCTTGAATTAGGCTTGTGAAGTAAACCTTTGGTGTAGTAATGAATATTACTGAGTTTTTTCTCAACATCAAATCATTATTTTCAACACCTCGACACGTGTTTCGATCACCAAGTGATCATCTTCAAAGAGGAAGATTAAAAAAAACAGTTATTAAAAACGATTTGATGTTGGGAAAAAAATTCCAGTAATATTCGGTACATAACGTACATAACTTTTATATTCAGGGGACGTATTCCAAGAAATAGCCAACTGATCCTCCTTATTTTTACTACTGAAGGCTCAATATTCAGAATAACAAAAATAATCAGTCGGTATAATTTTAGTCAAAAATAGACCTATTCGCATAAGTGCCGTTCATTTTTAATTATTATTTTTCACCACATAGACCTAATCTGTAAATGGTCACTGAACACTATTACATATTTTGTTCTATACAGACCTATTTCACAAATGGTCACTTTATTACAAAAAAATAGTTGTTACTTACCTTCACAGTATTTGCAATAAACAGACACACTTCGAGATCCGCCGATATTTTACACGTTCACTCGAAAACACGTCTGACGTAATACTAGTTCTGCCTCTTTCACACAACATGCATAAATGAATAGCGGGAACAGTAAAAGAGATCGAAACATGCGCTGTCCCTATTATACTTAGCGTGTTTTGACCCATGATTGATTAATCGTGAGTATGAATGCTTAATGCACACAAGAATTACAATAACTCTTGTGAAAAGATAGGATGTGATATTAATTATGGTTCCATTGCGTATGCATCTGCCTCAAAATCAGTCTTGAGACCGCTTGACACTATTCATAATACTGCTCTCAGAATCGCTTTGGGTGCTTTTCGCACTACTCCGATAGATAGTATTTATTTTGAAACTGGTGTACCCGCCTTGCAACGGCGACGAATGTATTTAACCTTGTCACATGCCACATCCATAGCAGCAAATGAAAATAAGCCTTTGTACAATAATACGTTTACCAATAAATACCGGCACTATTTCGATGGGAAGACACGCACACCTGAGCCATACTATGAAAGAATTCGAACGTATCTTCAGCATCTAAACATTGAATTCCCGGATGTCTATCCGTTAGATCTCGACCATCCACCCCCTTGGACTATAGCAATTCCTGAAATTAACACCAACTTACATTTCTATAATAAACACGATACAAAACCTTCTATTATCAGAACTGCCTTGGCCTCTATTTTGAATCAGCGTTACCATAGTTTCACGAAAGTATATACCGATGCCTCAAAAACCGACAATGGTGTTGGTGCAGCGGCGGTAACTCCTAACAACGATTTCAAATATAAACTGGCCTTTGACACCACCGTCTTTTCCGCAGAATTGTATACATTATACAAGGCAATCCAGTACATTAATCACTCCATTTCTTCGTTAGGCCTAATCCTCACAGACTCCTTTAGTTCAGTAGAAATATCACAACAAATTTATCCTATCAATCCTATTGCCAAAATGATGAAATCAGAACTGTTGGAAGCAAAAAACAACTCTCGGAAGATCAGCATTATGTAGATCCCTTTTTACAACGGGATAGACGGAAATGAAAAAGCAGACCAATGTGCGCGAAACGCAATAGTAAGTGCTGAATCAGAAGTAGTATCTCGCAGTGTACAGAGTGATTTGAAAGACTTTTTCAAAAATAAATTGTCATGTTTGTAAGAGTGGTTAAATTCGCGATAAAAATTGCGTAACATTAAAAACAATATCTTGGGTTGGCAACCAACTTGTAAGAGCAGAATAGCACAAGTGACTCTCACGCGCCTCCGTCTTGGTCACACAAGATTTACACATGGCTACCTTCTGACGAATAGTGATCCACCTAGATGCGACGATTGTGATGCAGTTCAGAGTGTCAATAACATTTTAATTGAATGCCCTGAATAAAATGTTCAACTATCTCTTCATCAGTTTCCGAATGACATTAGAGTTCTCCTCGGAACAGAATTCACCTCAAGAAATCTGATTGGTTATCTCAATGACATAGACTTATTGAACAAAATTCAAATATGTGTACACATTTACTGTTTCAGTATTTATCATTTGAGAGTATTGTACCTACTGATCCGTCAAAAAGAAATAATAACTAGCTAGATGTACTGTAGACAAGACAAGATTTAATTTCAAGCGTACTGTCACGAAGTTTGGAACGTAATGAAATGAATTTTACACAAATGCAATGTTTTATATCGGTAGGTATTTAAGAGAAGGGGTCAGATTGGTCTTTGGAGGGATAAACAAAGGTTTGGATTACCATAGGTAAAAGATATCATAATGGCGGGTTATTCCCAAGATAAGGGATACAAGGAATAATTAAGTAATTATAAATGTACGGGTTGCTTGAGGAAAGATATTTGGGAATATTGAATTTCATGAGCATAAGTGGATTAGAAAGACCCGTAAATTTAAGATCAACTGGGAAACCCAGATTATGAATAATGAAAACTTAAATAACTTATACAAGATTAGTTAACAATACATCAAATAAAAATAATGCCATAATACATTCTGTTTTGTTGTACAAATTTTAGAGCTGGCAAATATAGGCTAAATACCAATAAATTAGAATTCACTTGAAAAACATAATAATTTCGATAGTGAAATTTTGAGACCGAACAAGCCGCCACCCTTGAACTGTCCAAGTTGAATAAAATGAAATAGAGCAGTTAATTGAAGGGTAGAGGGCAGGGTTTCTTAGTACAGCGTTTGTACTCACCACTTTTGGTTTTTAGAGTCACTACACGCACAATGCCGTCTTCTCCTGGATGGATTGCGGTGATTCTTTTCATGGACCAAACAAGTGGGGGTATATTGTCTTCATGGATCAGAACTATATCTTCAACTTGAATCCTGCTAGTTGATCAACAACGTTGATGCGAGCTAATAAGGTTATTTAGATATTTCTTATGCTAGCGATCCCAAAAGTGCTGCTTTAATTTCTGCGCATGTTGCCAGGCAGACAATCGGTTAGATGGAGTGTTAGTGAAGTCAACCTCTGGACAGCTTGTCAATGGAGCACCAGTGGGAAAATGGTAGGCAGTCAAAGGCAAAAGGTCATTTGGATCCGAGGATGAAGGAGATAAAGGACGAGAGTTCAATATCGTTGCGATCTCAATTATATATGTTTCTAATTGTTTATATGTAAGCAACGTATGTATGTGAATGTTTTTTAAATAATTTGACTGCAGCTTACCAAAGTCCTTCAAAATGTGGAGCTCGGGGTGATATGAAATAGCAAGTGATTCTTTCATTATCAAAATGTTGTTTTATAGCGGTTTGATAATCAGCTGAATTGAATAAGGCTTGCAGCTCATGGTCAGCGCCGACAAAGTTAGTGCCGTTGTCAGAAAATAATTCAAAAGTGAGAAGGACCGATGAAGTCTACCGCTTACACTCAATATTCCTTGATCATCCAAATATGGACTTGAAGGGATTAATTTGCTAAAGTCCGGTAGGGATTCATTTTTCTCCAGGCAATTGATTTCTTTTAGAAAGAATGACGATTGTGTGAGTCGCATAATGACGTTGTGAGCTGCAGAAGTCTCTGTTGGACTCAAAGCTCCTGAGTATTTGAGGGTTTTATGTTTTGTATTGTGTACAAAACGCAATGGATAAGCAACCACACATTTAAGTTCACGAAAAGAACTGGAACATTCAACTAATGGAAACCCTTCCAATGAAACGTAACAAGTAACGGGATTATTTGCTACGGCTTTAGGTTCAGGGATAGTAATTTCAGATAATGCGTCTTTTGGCCATTCTTCTTTGTCCTGTGATAACCAAGAGGGGCCGTTAGGCCATATAGAACTAGTAATAAATCCAGAAGGTAATTTTCCGCGTGATACTAGATCTGCGGGATTGTCTTTACAGAATAGATGTCACCAATGACAGATTTTGGTAAGTTTTTGTATATCAGCTACACGATTGGCTATAAAGGTTTTCAAGCGATACGTTGCAGTTTGCACCCAATGTATTACGATCGTGGAGTCGGACCACAAATAAATGTCAGTGACGTCTAATAGAAGAGATTTCTTGACCATGATAAGTGAATTGGAAAGTAATACTGCACTGCATAGCTCTAAGCGAGGCAAGCTCACAAGAACCACTCTTGGTTGTGTGTGCACAACTCCGTTTGAATCTGTTGAGCGTAAGTATAGGCAAGCTCCATAGGCCTTGGTTTATAATTTAGTTAATGTAGATGGTTCAAATGCTGGAGTGAATTTGGATGAATTCCTCATAATAGATTTGCGCTGTAGGTGATCCTTGATCATGAGAACGGCAAAGAGTTGTGGCATTTTTTAGAAAAGGGAGTGATGAACGAGAATCACAAGAAGGGATTTGTTCAGTGGTGAGCCGTGTGGTCAATTTTCAAGAATTGAACGTTATCGTTTCGGATATAGTTTCATATATAGATTTTGAGAGTTCCACAAAAGGTTGCACTTCCTGAGGATTCTACTGGGTCACAACCACTTTTCCAGAACGAGCGACGCCATTTCCTTGAAAACGTTATTCGTGATTTTTTTGGTTAACGGACCCTTCGATTAAGGAGGTATGAAAATTCATGTCGATCCTTTCATTTGCATATGAGATTCACCTTTTGGTGATTCAAACTTTTGAAGGAATTTTCATTATGGAAATTGTTTTTTCAGGGTTTTAGTATTGGAGACTTTTTAGAATAGTGTTTCTGCAGAAGAGCTTCTACAGAACTTGTTTGGAATCATTAAAGAGGGAAGAACAAGAACTTCTATCTCTGATTGCCTCACGAAATATATTTTCAGTCAATTCACCGAATGATGGAATTTTCATTCATCAAGTTCGATAAATGTGATTATCCATGTCCCCACGATAGTCAAAGTCCATTTTGAAATTAGAAAAGTACGTGCTCCAAGTCTGTCCCGTTTCTGGTCGAAGAAAACTGCAGCTACAGCTCGACGATAAACTAACAGGCAAATATTATACTTACACTTGACTAATTTTTCCGAAAATAACTACTTTTTGCATTAGAAATACTGTTTTATCAACATGATACAATTATTGAATTTTGAGTTGATCCATTCATAATGTAAACCTGAACTGGGTATATTCTGGTGAGGTAATTTTCAACACCATTCCTATTGATAATTTTTTTATGACATGAATCTTATAAGTAATACTTTTCCTGATATTTTTACCTGAACTATCTTTAGATAAATGAAAGCGTACTTTCACCTACGATCATTATTGAGTTATTACAATGTGTTTCACATATGATTAAATGGCAAACTTGGAGCTCATTCAGATTTTGATTTCTACCCCTATTCAATTCACCGGCC